AATAAATTATAGAAAATGAACCTAAATCTTATTCTTTTGAGCGCCATAAATGACGCTCCTCACCATATAAATGAGATATTTTACAAACTTAGGGGGAGAAGAATGAATTAGCAAAAGTTAGAAAAAAAATTAAATAAATAAATAAATATTAATTATGATCCCTATCATGGTAGTTTGAAAAGTTATCTGCCAACTTTTGTCTATATATTATCAAGATAAGTTGCACATTTTATGATTTGATTTGTATTCAGTTATGATTCATATTGCATAGCGTTGAAAATATATTTTGGTCATATTAATTATGTGTATACATTGAGATAAAATCTTGCCAACAATACTTGAATCACTACACCTCAAGTGTAGGTTGAATGATCGGATCCAAAATAAAGATATGCCAAATAGATATGATATATGGCCAAATAGTGCAGTTAACACTTTTTGTAATACCCCAAATTTTTTTAAGTATATTTAGTCAATTATTTTGTTGGTATAAACTTTTGAATATATCATTATTTTCAAATATATATTAATTATTTTCTATTTTTGGATTTTAAAAAAATATTGATTTTGGATAATTTCTAAACTGATTTGAAAACTGATAAAATAATAAATTTGAAACTTATCTTTTCAATAGGAATTTGCACCAAATTCAATTTGACTGAGTCTTATCTTCTGAATATTCTAGAGAAATTCAACCTAAACTTTCTAATATATATATATATACCAAAATCCTAAAGCTAATACAATACAATTACCCAGTCGTCATTCCCGACCAATCCCTAGTCGGTAAGCGATGGTTCCTTAATTTGATACACTATTCATTAAGCCTTTTTCATGATTTCAAGTCTTACCCACACAATTTTTTTTGTAAACGTTCTGTAATTAACTTTCATCAAGAGTAGAGGTGGTTTTCTTTCTGCCAAAAGCAGACACCGTTGATTTTCTTTTTAAGAAAGTTTGGAGTGGGTGCGTGCATGGGAGTTGCCGAGTAGGAGGAAGATGTTGATCGTGGACCACTACTACTTATTACTCTTTACCTCTAATTTTCTCACCAAACATAAACTTATAAGAATTTATTTATTTTCCCTCTTACTATTACTAACTTCGTTTAGACTATTAACAATACGAGTGGACTAACTTAGTTCTATCATCATATTTGTAGACGGAGGCTACTAGGTGAACGTTTCGGAGGTTATTTACCTTGAGATATCACACACGATCAAGGTAATTTTCAATGTCCATCATCTTTAGAATCCCGTTAGGAAATTGTTTTGAAATATTGTGTGCCAACTACGTGCTTATGTATTTATATGTGATGAGTATGCTATCGTATGATATTATGAAATCATATTATATACTAGTTTTCTATTTTGTGTACTAGTATATGTATTTTCGAAAAATTTGATTATTTGATATCTTATGAGTTTTTTTTTTTAAATAAATAAGATCTTGGGAATTTGATGATTGATTATATGTGATTGATGGTCTATATGTCATGTAGGATGACTATGGTCTAATAATACTGAAATTGCAGTATTGTTACTTGGAATACTTGTGTACAGTGTAATTGGATTATTTAATCTAATAAAATGTACCGTGTTATTTTAATCTAAGAAGGGAAATGAAACCCGAAAGGGTAAAGAACACGTTTCCCACTAGTAGTTAGGGTTGCTACTAGTTGGTTTAAATTATTGTATATTGTTGTTAGTTTTCCTCCTAATCACTGGGTGTTAGTGAGGGGTGTGCACATGACATTCTGCTTTATTTCATGGCCATTTGGGGTTACACGCCACCCTCCGTAAAGTAGGTGGTGACATGGACTAGTCCCGGCTTACTTGTGTTCTCTTTCCTTCTCTTAACTAAAGTAATAAAATGTTATGTGACAAGTTGATTTTGGTTGAGTATTATATTGTCTATGAGACTAAAATTTTGTATAAAATGTTTTGAACTAAAATTATTTATTTTACGGGATGAAGTTGGAATTTCTCAGTTTATCTGATTTTTAGGAGTTTTCTCTCTTTTCTTGTTACTGATTTATTTTGCAGGTTGGTAAGAGAGTACTTGGTTACGTGTGAGGAGACGTTAGAATAATCACGTAGCTAAGACATTTTAGTTTATTTCCGAATTTAATTATTTTCTTTCATCTATTGGTTTCAAAATAATTACAATTTTGATGTAATGACTATTTTATTTTGCCACCAATTAGACCACTTAGTTTATTTAAATATTATTTCAATTTGCTTTGCATTTATTTTCTATGGAAAATAAGTGTAGCAGTAACACTCCCAGAATTCGATGGTTGGATTTTTGAAAGTTAAAGGTTACTCTTATTGTTTTAAAATTACTCAAATTTTAGGGGTGTTACACTTTTAATAGTGTAATAGTATATAAATGTCATAGTGTATGAAATACCCCAAAAGTGGTATAGATATTTGAATTATTACAATAGATGGCCTATGATATAAGAAAAGTTATGATGGTACCAATAAAAAAATGTATTTAGATATCATAGTGAAATAGCATGCGATACACAATGGAACCTATGTAGTACGCATATCTATAATGGAATGGACTAGTGAATAAGGGATCTAAAATATATGTATATTTTGATGTCGACATAATGATAATGATCATAAGATTAGCATGGACCCAAAGTCCAATGAAATATAAATTTTTAAATCCACTCTGTATAATTTCTTGCATTATTTTGAGTCTTATGTTCATGTGGATGTGTGAATCATAGTATAATGAATTACTTATTGCATGTGTAGGAAGTTGTTAGACGCATTATATACTTTTTTATATCTTATTATAATTTCTTTATCTCATATTGCATGCATAATTAGTTTCCATACCATAATTGTGGTATATGGGAAAGTTTGTTCAAGGTATAGTAAGACATTTTTATATTCCAATGGGCTTATAGTTGTAATAAAATTATTAATGACGTCGATAGCATGTTATGAATCATGTAAGAAGAGTTCTGCATAACTTATATACGACGTATTTAAATACGTATCCCTGCATATTTTTTATCGGCAAATACAAGTTTATCTGCGAGATAAACGAATTTTTGTTAGTCTAGTGCCATTTCTGTAAGTATATTAAAAAAGTGTGGTCATTTATTCAATACTTTTGGTGAGCTGTCCAATTAATGTTTACAACTTGCATTTACTATTTGGTGAGAGAATTACACATGTAGCCTTCAACTAGTGCATGAAAAGACGTATGTACCACTCCATTGGTACTTGAAAAGACGATTATACCCCCAGATAAACTAAATTTGTTTATCTGGGGAATTAATTGGACACAGCTCAAATTTTATGTCTTGAATATTGCAATTATTATCAAACTCTTTAAAAAAATCAATATGACTACATCATTGAGATTCAATCGGTCTTTGTATTCATTGGCGAACTCTCATATTAAGTGTGAAAGTTCCAAAGAAAAGCTTTGACATATTTTCAACGAGAATAATTTCTTATAGTCCAGAAGAATCATGAGTGATGTATGTGGGTAGTTATCACTAAATCTTGTAAAATTGGACAACTATATCATGTATTGTCATAAATTATGATCTGTAATTCATCATCAATTTCTATTAAATATGTCAATCAACCTCCACAAGAAGTCATAAGTGTAATGATGTAGGCAACTTTAAACTAGGATTTCGAATGATATGTGGACCAACACATGTATTACGGTAATATTAAAAAAGACTCACTCGTTTGCGTGAAGATTATTTGAAGATTCAAGCTCAATTTGAAAAGATCAATAAGAATGGTGTTCTTGTACTTCGGAGAAGTTACCTAACCATATCGCGTCAAATTTATTGCACTAGAAGATTTCACGATATATAATTAGGGGGAGAAAATACGCGCTGCAAGCTTTTTCCCTTAACCATGTTTTTGTCCCACATTAGGTTTTCCTGATAAAGGTTTTTAATGAGGTAGCATTGCAAACATATTATGAAGAATAATGTACTCTTTTTCCTTCACAATGTTTTTAATGAGGCACAATGTTTTCCCTTAACCATGGTTTTGTCTCACATGATTTTTCGTAGTAAGGTTTTAATGAGGCACAATCTTCGATAATGGACATCCAAGGGAGAGTGTTACAAAATATTGTGTGGATGCCCATTATATTCTTATACGCTCTGGAACATTCTCAGTTTAGGGTAAATGTTTTCTAAGAAAAACCTACCTATTGTATATGTATACATAATATATATCCCCTATTTAATGTAATACTCCCTCCGTTTTTAAATACGTGCTCCATTTCTCTTGGACACGCATGTCGATGCTAAACTTTAATTACTAATATCTTTAATTATCAATAAGTATAAATTCTAACAATTGAAAATTAATAATCTATTTATTGAGATGATTCCAACAAGTACCTACAAGACTATACTCCCTCCGTATTTTTTAAGTGTTACACTTCCCATTTTCGGCCGTATTTTTTTAAGTGTGACACTTTCTTTTTTGCAAAAAGCTACATTAAAATATTATATCTCTCTCCTCTCATAATCCCCACCCAAACCCACCACTAATTTTTTTATTATATCTTTCCTCTCACATTCATTACTTTTCAATAAACTATTAATCCCACTATATTTCTTTTATAATTTTTTAATAATCCAACTACCCCACTTACCTATTATTTTATTTAAGTAGTTATATTGCCTAAAACTATGTGCCGATCAAAGTAACACTTAAAAAAACACGGAGGTAGTATTTTTTTCTTATGTATAAATCATAAATATTAGTAAAAGTAGGACAAATAAATAGTGCAAAAAATAGAAATGGAGCAAGTATTTAAAAACGGAGGGAGTAATAGACTAATCAACTCTCTCTCAATTTCTCCTCTTCCTCTTATTTTATAACACTAGAAACTTTTTTTTTTTTAAAAACAAAAAAAAGATAAACAAAACAAAAAACGATACTGAGGAAACATGTGGGACATTAATAATAAAAAAAAAATTAAAAAATTAAAAATAAAAAAAAAAATCAACTGGGATTTTATATAATAAATTCCTATAATACATGATATATACTAGTTACTCTCTTTGCTCTTTTTTTTCCGTACTTTGTGCCTGAGGTGTTTGGATACATTGCCTTTCACTATCTACTTATTGCTCCACTATATGATAAGTTCCCAATATTTTACGTGCAGGCATCAAAAATCCTCCTCTATGAACCAAGCAGAGACTGTTCGACAACACGGGGAAAGTTAGACAATTAACAGCAGGCAATGACAATAAGAAATGAAGATAAAATTTCAAGAACTATGCATCAAATCCATCAGTTTCAATATTGAGCGATTGTTTTTGCCTACCAAATTAAGCAGACGAAGGGCTGCAGGCCGAGTAAACTTTCTTGCAAAGAGGAAGCAAGGTGAGGGTTTACCCTTGTTACTGCACCATTCTCTTCGATTTTCAGTCTCATAGTAGATGTTATCTATTTCCTGCAGTGTTTTCAAGAATTTTAATCAACACTTTCCAACATAACCAATATTTGGTAGTACAATGTTTAATTGTGATGCAAGGGATGAACTTGCAGTTAAGTTTTCTATATATATATATATATATATATATATATATATATATATATATATATATATATATATATATATATATATATATATATATATATTAAAACTCAAGGTAAGAATTGTAATCATGCCACGTGGTTATTCTTGCCACGTGTCGTCATGACTTGATAAATAACGTGGGGTCATGTCATACTAAAAACGATCATCAATGTTTCCCCACAAAAATTTTATGTTTATAAATTCTAAATTTTTAATTGAACTTATATATACATTTCAATATAATCTCATTCTTTCATTTACCCATCCATAATTCATATAGGTTATATGTATTTAAAATATGTAACACAAAAATACATATCAATTTCAAAACCATAACATGTGTTTACCTTAAGAAATTTTTAATGATAGATAAAAATTCATTTAACAAATAAAACAAACTAATATGAAGTATAAAAGTAAGGTTACTGCATTTTTCTTAATGAATTTTGATAATGTTTAATAATATTTACCAAAAAAAAAAATTATTTTATAAAAACTATAAAACCACCAATAAATTTCACTTTAATTGATTATAAATTTTTTAAATACAAAAAATGACCCGGGTCATCGCCCGGGCCTAAAACTAGTTATTATATTAATCGCAATGTGAAGATAACCCTAGGCATTCTCATCAAGGACATGCTTTGATTGATAGTAATATAAACAAGTATTAATTATAAAATAAAATAAAATAAAATAAACACTAGATAAGATTAATGTTGCAGCAACTGCCACTATGCCAGATCTCCCATAACCATGCATATACACCATATTACTAGTCTATAATATGGTGATTGCTGTCTCCTAGATTCAATGAAATTATCAGCTACAACCATATAAGTGTATCCTTCTTATGATAACAAAAATCAATATGAGCGAATCATTAGTGTTCAATAAATAGTCCTCCTCACTAGGGTAGGCTAACTCTAACAGTTTGACAAACACACAAAAATAAATAAATAAAGCATGAGTCCATTATAAAAATACATGGAAGGAAAAGGAGGGAATAGTAGAATGGGTGTTGGTTTTAAACAAAACAGTATGCTACCATAAAATAGGAAGAAGCTTACCTTAATGGAGAGAATCAATTCAGGGGTTGCGTCTGAAAATTTATATGTTACAGGATGCCATCCACGTCTTTCATGGTCTTTAGAGGCTGAAAGATCCCAAGCCGTATGTATCAAAGATCTTCTTGTTATCTCTCCTTCAAGGCCTTCTTGCTGAATTACATCAATATGAGTATTATTTACTATTATTATAATAATAATACTAGTAACAATAACAAAAAAAATTCACTTAATAAAACCATTTAAACACTTCCATATTATGAACTTCCTAATAAATAATGGGAGGATATCAGCCCACAGCAAACAGAAAAAGTTGAAATGTGTTAATTATTCCAGTAATTAAAATTCAAAGCCCTACATTAATTGGCTGAATTGTTCAAAAATGGTTATAGATGAATGTGATGAGGAAAAAGATAGAGAGAAATGCAACTTAAAAAAGAAAAGGAAAAAAAAAATTGCAACCATTTATAGTACATAATATAAAAAGCAAAAGAAAAATTGTTCAAGAGGTAATATACATCTATTTACGAACATTATACTTCCTCAGTTTTTTATCATTGCACCATTCATGTTGGGCACACATTTTTTGGTAGTGGGAAAAATGAAGAGAGAGAAGGGTAAAAGTACAAAAAAATCCATGTGATGTAAACATAAAGTAAAGAATCAAGTGTTAAAAGTAAGGGTATATTGGATATTTATAGTGTGAACACACATATTTTGTTTCTTTAAATGGAAATAGTGCAATATTTGTAAAATTTCCTTAAAAGGCCAGTGGTGCAATAATAAAAGAACAGAGGAAGTAGTATATATAACCAAACATAACATAGTACCTGTGTCTTATTTTTCCCTACTAGCTTCTTACTAATGATTTTTTATTCTACTCACTTTACTCATCTTGGTAGATTATCTTTACCATCATACACCACTTACCCAAAAATATTTACACCTTCACACTCTCTTTACTGTATCTTACACATAGTTATCAGAATCGATATTCTACCTTGAATCGGTCAGTGGAGTAGAATCGAATCGTAGAATTGTACGAATGTACGATTCTACAAAATTGTAAAATTAGGCTTCAAAATGTAACTAATAAATACATACATAATTTTCAAGCAATAAGAATGATAATAATATATATTGTAGATAACATAATATCAATAATACAAGCATAAAGTAGTTTTAGAAGTAATTTCGCACGCGCATAACTCAAATAGTACACTATAAACTATAAAGTCAAATTATTGGTATACATTCTTAACCACAAGAGTATGAGACAATTGTTGTTAAATTATGAAAAAAAATAATAATAATAATAATATTATTGACTCGTAAAATTGTTTCACCTAATAAAAAAATCCAATGATAATAGAAAAATAAGTGTCAAATTAATTTATTTTAACGAGATATTTAAAGAATGACAATTACAATAAACTCATGTTATAAAAGTGTTTTTTATATTCCAAAAGTGAAATGCATAAGACTTATGAATACATTCTTATGCCCACAAAATTTAAATGGTTAGATAGAATTTTAAAAGTTATTTAAATTAATGTTTCATTAGTTTTATTATGATTTATATTGAATAATATATAAGTTATTGATATGGGTACAAGACCAATTTATTAAAAAGCAGACCTCAAGAGCTTTCTAACGATATATTATAAGCTCAATTCCGACTTCACAATCAAAAGTTATGGGTTACGGAAAATCAGACTTTTTGCAGGAGTAGAATCGTTAGAATCTGTATAGAATCATAGAATCGGTACCGATTCCACCGATTTTAACCGATTCCACCGATTTTAACCGATTCTACCGATTCTATGAGCGCGATTCTACAATATATTGATTCTACCGACCATTTACATTGTTTAGGTGGATTAGAATCGTAGAATCGTACAATTCTACGATCCGAATTGCGATTTTAATCACATTGATCTTACACACACCGACATTTTTACACTGACTCTCCTACTTAACTTGCACCCACTTGCATTTTACTTTCCTTACACCCACTCATCATTTTATAACAAGTTGACTTGCTTTTTACTTCTCCTCATACTCGCTCATCATTTTGATAACAAGATAACGAGTGGAAAAATGTTTTCAAAATTAGAATAAAGTATAAGAGTATAGAACTTTCAAAAATGGTTTAAAATCGAAAACGTACAGAACTTTCATATAGATTACCCGCAAAATTAGACAATTATAAATACCTAATTTTAGCATAGTCCGACATAAATACTACCTCCGTTACTTTTTATTTGCAACAAATAAAGTGTGAGTGAAAAATGTCTAACCGTTAGCCAATAAAAAGAAACGGATGTAGAACAAAATTAAAACCAAAAAGCAATAGATAATCATAATTCTAAATTTAAAAAATCAAGTTAAAAGCAATGCCAGAAATTTTTCCAAAGATAATAAACTTGCAAGAAAATCCTAAAATTGGGATACTTACAGCAAGCAATGTTTGAACATAATGTTCATCTGGTATGCAGTTGTGTTCCTTAGATGTATCTACTGGCTGCAATGCAAAATTATAGAATATCAGGTAAAATCCAAGAATCTGTCACCTGATTGGTACAAATTTGTACACCAAGAGAACAATAATGCGTTCGCAAGACATGCACCAGCTTAATCTCATGCAAAAGTCCACGATAGTAATCCGACTCCAAAATCAGGTTCTTTATCAATTATTCTCGATAACAGTCACTCTAATCCACATTTCAAGGTTGTAATAAAGTTAAATAAAGACAATCATATAATTGATTGTAGAGATTCATCCATAGTTTAGATACAGATCTGGACAACATTTAGTGCCGTAGGAATGGATACGAATCGTTCATTGCAGATCACATCACATGGATTGAGGTAAGAACTTGGTTTAGAAGTTTTTTCTTTAGGTGTTTTTTTAATGATGTACTTATATATAATGTAATTAATAGTCTACTAAGTTATATTTTCCAAATAAAACATCATACCCCTCTTAACCAACATTTATTACATCTTTCTACACTCCCTTGCTTAGATTATCTTATACACATCCACCTTTTGTAAAAATTCTCTCTCTCTCTCTCTCACCCTATCTTACACCCACCTTTTGTAAAATCTCTCTCTCTCTCTCTCTCTCACCCTATCTTACACCCACCTTTTTTCAAACTTTTTTCTTGGCACACTTTTTTTTAAAAGTATTTTTTAAACCGCATAGCTGCATTGATTCGGAAGGAACAAAAAGAGAGAGAGAGAGAGAGAGAGATTGTATAAATTTATGTTAATGTATAAATAAATATAGTTTTAGGAAAAATTGACAAGAATAATCTCAACTTTGCCTCATTCACAAAATAATCACTACTTTCGATTATTTTTTAATAATCCGAATTTTGATACGAATTTACTCTCAATAGTCCCAAGTGACTTTAATTAACACTTATAAAAATTGTTAATTATTAATTAACACTTAACTAACCGTTTTTTTTTTTTTTTTGAAATCAACACTTAACTAGCTAAATAAACTTTGCCTTAAAAAAATTAAAAAAAAAAAAAAAACTAAAAATAAAACCCACAACCACACTCCCAGACCACACCCTACCCTCCGCCGCTGTGCCCAGACTCCCCATCCCCCACCGCGCCCAGTCTCCCCTTCCCCCACCGCTCCCAGTCTCCCCTTTCCCCCGCACCGGCGCTGCCTCACCCTACCCCTGCGTCGCCACCTAATCCACCATACCCAACAATGGTGAGATCTCCATTCTCTCCCCACCAATCCCAATTTCCGCCATCTCCATTCTCCACCAGTAGTGCCGCCCGCGTCAAAGCTAAGAAAGGCTCTCAATCGCAGGAGTTTTTTTGCGGTGTGGGAGGAGTTTCTTAGGGCTTTTTCGGTGGAGGGAAGGGGGTTTCGGGATGGGGTAATGGTGGTTTAGAGGCCAGCGCACGGGTCTGGGTGCGGCGGAAGGGGCAGGGGTGGATGGATGGCCGGCCCGAGAAGATGGTTTGGCTAGTAGAGAAGTAGGTGGTTGATTTTTAGTTATTTAATTAATTATTTTTGTAAATTTTGTTTAAATTTTTTTTATTTTATTTTTAGTTACAAGGCGACACATGTTAGATAACTTGTTATAACACGTTAGATGACCGAATGGGACCATTGGAAGCAAATTCGTATCAAAGTTCGGATTATTAAAAAAAAAATCAAAAGTATAGATTATTTTAGGTGAATAAGGCAAAGTTGTGATTATTTTTGTCAATTTTTCCATAGTTTTATATTAATGTTTAGGAAATACTTACATTAATAATATCACCTTTGCCTCATCTTCTCAAAACGATCCTTTTTACTAAATTTTTTTAAATTTTTCTTTTCATCTCTCTTCCATCCTCACCACTCTCCACCAAGCAATCACAACCAGCACACCTCCATAGCCACCACCCTCACTAAATAACCAAACTGACTCCACCCCACCACCCACGACTCCACCCTTGAACGAACTCCATTGCTACCGAATCCCCAAAACTCTACCCCCCACCTATACCCTCACGCTTACCCCAAACCAGTCGGAAACAATCTCACGCTCACCCCACTACCGATCTTAATGGGATTAATAACTTAGGAAAGGGGCGGGGTTTTCTGTTCGGCAAGGTAAGAGGTGGGGGTTGTTGTTCGGTGGGGAAGGTGGGTAGGAAGAAGGGAAAGAGAGAAGGGGGAAAGAGAAGGAATAGGGGAAGAGGGAACGAGGGAGGGTGGCTACCATGTCCGGGAGGGAAACGAAGAAGAGGTGGGTCCGGGGGAGCAGAGGAGCGATAGGAGAAGGAAGGAGAAAGGTTTTTTTATTCCTTTATTATTTTAAAAAAATAAATATTATTACAAAAAACAATCCAAAGGTGACATGTGGAAGTTATCTCCTAAAACTTGTTACTAATTTCTCAACTCGGTAAAAGGCTTGTTTTGAGAATATGGGGCATTAAGGTGAGATTATGTGCAGAATATGCAAAGGTGGGATTGTTTAAAAAAGATGCGAAAAATGAGGGATTATTAGTTTTAATATTTCCTAATATTTATGTATAGTTTATATTTATGTTTATATATATGTTTATTAATGTTTATGTTAATGTTATTGCATATATTTATGTTACTGTTTTATGTTTATGTTTATGTTAATGTTTAAAGAAAGTATAAAATTGATTACTCCCTTGAAAGAAAGGGCTCCTTTTCTCTATCACCCTTCCTGCTATGACCAGACATTAAGGAGAAGATGATTGAAAAATGCTCGAATTCGCGTATAGATGGCGAAGAGGCTATTGATTTTGGAAGTCTAGACCCAGGCGAGGAGAAGCATAATCTATTGGGCGTGTTCTCACAAAGAGGGCGTACAATGTGGATACCTTCAAGAAGACGATGACGAGTGTGTGGGCGCCTGCGAATGGACTTGTTATTAGGATCCTTAGCCCTAATTTGTATGCCTTCCAATTTTTTCATTGGAAGGATATGGAGAAAGTGTTGGAAGGGAGACCTTGGTGCGTTGATAATATGTTGATTTTGCTTACAGAAATTGAAGGGGACGAACAACCTCATCAAATGACTTTAACCCATTCTCCCTTCTGGGTGAGAGTGAAAAATCTCCCGTTTAACTGTCGATCCGACGTCTATGTGAAAGCCTTGATGCGAGGATGGGGCGAAATTTTGGAGTTGGGGGAAGATAATTGGGAGTAGGGCGTTATCGTAGGGTGAAGGTGATGCTTGATACTACTCTGCCTTTACGAAGAAACCAGAAAATAATTGATAAAAGAGGAAAAGAAGTGATAGTGGAATTTGCATATGAGAGACTCCCGCACTTTTGCTTTGCGTGTGGCGTCATGGGCCACTCGGAAAGGATTGTCAAGTTGTATTTGAGGAAGAAAAGGAGAAGAAACTTGGGTGGGGCATAAGCTAAGCCACGCCTAGGAAGAGGAGGTCGGAAGAAGTAGAAGAAATTGAGGGGATTTTATCTAAGAAGAAGACTCTCTTTGTAACTAAGGAGTCATGTTTCACATGGTCAGGGGTTAAAAGGGGCTCTAAATGATGAGGGGACTCGGGCTATATGTGATGCCGTAGAAAAGGAAAATTTGATTCCTATAGTTGAACCACAGGTGTGTAACTTGGAAAGTGGGAAGACTTTTGGTAGTGATTCTAGCGGAGACATCTGTGGTGCAACCTGTACAAGTCAGAGAGACTTCCCTACCAAATTCTCATTTTGCCTTGAATTTTGTTGTGGGGAAAAGTGAGTTGGTGGATAAGGAAGGTAGCAAGAAGATAAGAAAGGGTGGCAGAGAGTTTATGCGTGGCAAACTTGAGATTATGAGTGCTAACACTCACAAAAGAGCACTGGACTCGAATGACATAGAGATTGAAGGAGATACGGATTCAGCCAAGAAATTGAAGCTCAATTCGGAGTTGACCTTTGATCATGAAAGGGTGGTGGTTGGCGAGGGCCAACCCCACCTAGCATTATGAATATTCTATGCTAGGACTGCCGAGGGGTGGACAACCCTCAGTTCGTCAGCTCCGCCAATGGAGCAACTTCTATGCCCTGGATATTATGTTTTTATCCGAAACAAAAATTAATAAATTGGAGGTGGAAAACTTGAAGGACAGACTTGCCTTCTCTAACTCATTTGGCGTGGCTATTAAGGGTCGTGCGGGTGGTCTCTGCCTATACTGGAAGGAAGAGGTGGCTTTCTCTCTTGTTTCTTTCTCACAAAACCATATATATGGTGATATAAGGTAGGGAGAGGTTGTTTGGAGGTTCGTGGGTCTCTATGGCTAGCCAAAAGAGGAGGATAGGCATAAAACTTGGGCTCTCATTAATTAAACACCTTTGTGTGGAAGCTGACATTCCTTTGATTTTCGGTGGAGACTTTAATGAAGTTTTAGGTTACCATGAGATTGAGGGGGGTGCTCACAAAGTGCGTAAAGAGATGCCCGAGAAGTGGTTGAGGTGTGTTGCTTGAGGGATTTGGGTTTCACGGGACAATGGTATACTTGGGAACGTGGTGATACTATCGAAACTTGCATCCGTGAAAAGCTTGACAGGTTCCTTGCTACCCAATCTTGATTGGACTTAAATCTTAATGCGATGGTTGAGCATTTGATGCGATATAAATCTGATCACACGACGATTCTAATGAGACATAAAGCTTCCCTGAAGAAGAAAGAGGGGAAGAGGAAGGAGTTTAAATTTAAAACGTGTTGGCTCTTAGATGATAGCTGTGAAAATGCAGTGAAAGGTGCGTGGGAACATGCTGAAGGTCTGCCCCTGCCTGTGTGCGATGGAGCGGTGATAAATTCACAGACATGGGAAAGAAAATAAGGGAGGTGGAAAGGGTGCAGCTCCGTTCTATTTCTCATGAGTCGTGCAAGGAGGGTGCTAGGCTCGAAAAATTGCTTGATGACCTCATTGAAAATCAGGAAGCATATTGGTACATTAGATCCCGGGTTGCGGAAGTGAAGGATGAAGACAGAAACACCAAGTATTTCCACCATAGCAAGAACCGCATTGAGGGGTTGTTCGATGCTGATGACATTTGGCAATTGAGTGAACGCCGCATTGAGGAACTCAGTATTATGAGAAAATCTTCTCCTCCACGAATCCTACGATTGAGAATATGGAGCTCTGTGCCGCCTACTATTACGAGTGACATGAATAGGGAGCTGCCGAGACCATTCACCGGGGAGGAAATCTATGGGGCCCTTAATCAGATGCAACTCTACAAGGCACCCGGACCGGATGGGATGCACGTAATCTTCTATTAGCATTTTTGGCATATATTGGGTAATGATGTCGTAAATTTTGTTAGTAACATTTTACATGGCATTTCCTCTATATGTGATGTGAATAATACTAACATTGTATTGATTCTCAAAATTAAGTCCCCAAAATATATGACTGAATTCCGACCCATAGCTCTTTGCAATGTGATTTATAAGATTGTTACCAAAGCTCTTGTTATCGGACTAAAAAATATTCTCCCTGGAATTGTAATGAAGAATCAAAGTGCATTTGTTCCGGGGCGTTTGATTACTGATAATGCCTTAATTGCTTTGGAGATTTTTCATTCTATGAAGAGAAACAGGGGTAGGAAAGGCTTGGTTGCCATGAAACTTGATATGAGCAAAGCTTATGATAGAGTAGAGTGGGGCTTCCTGAAAAAATTGCTACTGACGATGGGTTTTGATGGAAGGTGGGTGAACTTAATTTTGGACTGTATATCTACGGTCAAGTACTCTTTTGTGATTAATTGGAAGGTTTGTGGGTCGGTTTCACCATCTAGAGGGCTCCGGCAAGGGGATCCCTTGTCACCGTACCTTTTTATTCTCATTGCGGATGCATTCTCTAGAATGATGAACATTGTGTAGAGTAAGAGCCTTCATGGGGCTCGTGCCAGCCACAATGGTCCGGAGGTTTCTCACCTTCTTTTTGCAGATGACAGTCTTCTTTTCACTAGGGCCACTCGACAGAAATGCTCAATTATTGTTAATATTCTCAGACAGTACGAGGCAGCATCCGGGCAGAAAATTAATAATGATAAATCGAAGGTCTCTTTTAGTAGAGGAGTGAACAGTTCGCAGAAAGAGGAGCTATTAGCAATTCTTAACATGAGAAGTGTCGACAGACATGAGAAATACCTAGGGAATCCTACTACCCTTGGTAGATCTAAAAAGGCGGTTTTTGGTGCTCGTGTTTGGAAGAAATTACAAGGTTGGAAGGAAAAACTTCTTTTGAGGGCCGGGAAAGAAATTTTGCTCAAAGCGGTGATCCAAGCTATACCAACCTACCTCATTGGAGTCTACAAAATCCCATCCGAAATTATTCATCAAATCCACTCGGCAATGGCAAAGTTTTGGTAGGGACAAAAAGGGACGAGATGTAAGATCCACTGGAAGAGTTGGGAGTCCATGTGCACGTTGAAATGCTTAGGGAAAATGGGATTTAAGGACTTAATAGTCTTTAATGACGCCCTTCTTGATCGACAGGCGTGGAGTATTATTAGGGAGCCTAGCTATCTAATGAGTCGAGTTATGAAAGCCAAGTACTTTGCTAGATCAACGTTCTTGGAGTCTTCCTTGGGCTATGGGGGTCGAAAGCTCTTATCAAATAGGGGATGTTGTGGAGGGTTGGAAATAGGGATTCTATTGACAATTGGTCCGATCCGTGGTTAGCAGATGATGAGAGCGGGTTTGCTTCGACCACGAGGAGCTGCATTATGTGAGAGATTTGATGATTGCCGAGAAGAATGAGTGGGATGTGGACCTTATTGAACAGCATTTGCAAAAGAGATGTGAGGTGTATCCTTGCACTTCCTCTCATTGATCGAGTTCAAGCTGATGAGGTGTTTGGGCATTCTCGAATAATGGTAATTACACTGTACATGCTAGGGAAGGGTTGCAATTTGGATAATTTTCAAGAGCATTCGTGGCAATTAGCCCGCAACTTAGCCGCCGCCACCTCCACCGCCACTTACCCTACCCAAACGCATACCCAGACTTGAAATTCTTCTCCCAATCCTACCCAGACTCAAAACCACTAATCCCACATAGCCGAAACTACCCATACCAGAATTCACCAAACCCACCCCCACCCATACCCGAAACCCCAATTTTACCTATCTAGAACCCAAAACCCCAACTCCCACCATTTCCTTCTCGGTTCTCCCTTTCAATTAAATTTTGGGCTGAATTAGGGGTGGTCGTACGCCATTGATGTTGTGGGTGTTGTTTTCAGTTTTAGGTGTTGTGGGTTGGTCGTGGATGTTGTAATGAGTGATTATAGGTGGCGGTGTTTGTGGTGGTCCTGTGGATGGTGTGTTGAGTGGTGTTGGTGGGTGATAATGGAGGAAGGGAGAGGAGACAGAAACAAACAGGAAGGGGAAGAAGATAGAAGTTTTTTTTTTAAAAATTAAAAATAAAATTTTGATGAATCTGGAATTGCCACGTGGATAGTAACCGGTTATAAAGGGTAAAGTGACGTGCTGGGATTGTTGGAAGAAAATATATAGTAAACTTAGGATTATTCAGGGTTAATCGAAAAGTTGGATTATTTTGAGACAATGAGGCGAAGGTTGGATTATTCTTGTTAAACTTTCCGATGAATTATACAATAACACAAAATTAACAAGATCTCACTTAACTATATTTTACGTTACATTTTAATCACTAAATATGGTTAAACAAAAACACGTTAATAGCAGCAAAAGTCAAATTGTTACGAATAAAATGCAAAAGAGAAAAAAAGTTATTACATTTAATAAAAGTTCTTATACAAAGAAATAGTTCAAGAGTTTAAGAACATCATAAATTAATTTTTTTAGTGGTCTTGGATAGATGGCTGAGTCAGATAAAACCCAAAACCCTTTGGGTCGATTTACCCAAAGCATGAACAGTATTTAAAAAAACCTATTAGTCAACTTACATCAAACCCTAAATGCTAAAGCATATGCAGACACTTCAACACCAATTGAACTAGTTGACATCACGTTTTAAAGTTATCCCTTACAGACCGAAAACTTCAATTTGATAAACTAAAATCGGCTACAAAACAAGTAGGACTGTTGTTTATTTTGAACCGTGGATTGATCAAACCAAAATTTGAAAGATAAACTTCATGTCCCACAAAAACACATCAGTATAACATTAATTTATTTACCTTCCTATGTGCAAAACAAAGAAAAGTACACACAAACATACACCTGTAACCCACCATGCAGACACACAAACTCACCCACCCAAAGCTACGCGGGGTGAGAGGGATGGAGAATGAACACAAAGATAACAAAAAACACACAATGTAACAAAAAGAGAAAAGAAGCGAGGAAGCTAGGATTGCTCTTACAAAGGGTTGATGACGCCAAAATTCTGGAAGTGACTTTCTCTACATCAAGAGGAAACGTTTGTAAGAACCACAGGCCATAAGTTGGAATATACCGAAATACCAAATCATTTCCCTTTAAAAAACCACAATGAAAATGGGGAACAAAAACAACCTAAAATTGATGAGAACCAAAGTTCAAATCTAGGGCCTAAGAGAACCGCAAAATCTTAACAAGCTTTCCTTAGAATGATGGCTGATGTTGTGCCACCTTTAACCCATTTAATTTACCTACACAATGGGATTTGGAATGGACTCATATGTTGGGCTTGAATTTGTGTAATATATTGCATGAATCAAAGACACTTGATGGAATTGCTATGTATAAAATATTATTTATGTTGAAACCCCAAGTGGTTTTTCCATACTATTATAGTGCGATTCTAAATAACTTTGTTTTAGTCTTTTGGATCAACTATGTTACGAAATGCTTGGTTTAGCCCAATTAATTTTCAAATTAAAAGCTTAGAGTGGACTTACTTGGTAATCTAGGAAGCTCGCACACAGTTTGTTAGGTTACTGTCTAAAATTAGTGTTGTTTCTATTCTATGCAAGGTTTTAGTGTTTTACATGGCTATGTCTACATAAAAAGTTCCATATACTAGTCAAAGTTTGAATGTTAAAGAATATGAAATCAATCTATAATGAGCCTTAACTTTCAACGAGTAAAGAAGATAACTTCATTCATTATTCACAACTTCATTGGCTTAATTGCCACTTCTTAAAAAAATTCGCTTTTGCTCCTTAAAATCACTTCCCTCCATATAAGTCACCTAATTAAGCAGAGATAATAATTTCAAAATTGCAATGCATCATATGTTTCAGCCTAGTAATCACTCTACATAAACCAATACTCTAATGCCTCTTTTAAACAATGTCATTAAATATAAGAATGGTGTCAGGTATTTATACAACTTTCAATGGAATATACAGCGTGAATACATTTGAATTTGTGATAATGCCCATTCATAGCTTGATCTACTGATCTCAACTTATTTTTCCATCTTCATAATGCCTCACAAAACTTTTTCCAAAGAAACCTAGAGATTCTAGTATCACTTCGTTCTGTGGGTGGAGCCTTACATTTATATCCTAGGTGTGATTTATTTACTAGAATTGCTCTTGGAAAATATGGCATTTTTGCATCATACACCACTGTCTTATAAGGAAAAGATGGTATTTTCATGTTAGTAATGGTCTAACACATGTTTTTTTTTTCTTTGGCTTAAGTTAGTTTACATCATCAAAACACATATAGTTTGACTAAAAGATTCTGGTATAACGGACAATGACTAGTATTTTAGCAAGAATACTTAAAGTTCTCCTCCGTGTTAATGGTTTCTGTAAGTTTTTGACAATTACTAACTATTCTCACAAGTCTGAGTTAAGAATTATCTTTTTATTAACTCTTGGATCTACACCAAACATGGCACTCTTAAAAGTCCAAGCATCATAGGCTATTATTATAACACTCTTACACCTTAAATGTTGGAGGTGACAAAAGGAAACTAGAATTAAGAAAATAACCTTGAAGTACCATATATATATGGAAAAATGGAAACTAAAAATCTAACATTTGCACGGTCTAACAATAAAAATCCAACCTTCCATTAATCTCATAAAAATCCAACCTTTATACCCCACCTTCTCTCACAGATCTATTTGACCTTTAACCTATTAAACAGGTTAAAAAGTTTTTTTCTTTTTTTAATTATATTAATTTCCCTTCTCACTCCTCCTCTTTCTCTCTCCTCTCTCCAACAATCCACCAATCCAACAATTCCGCCACCCCAACAACCCACCAAAAACCCGACCACCCAAAAACCCCGACCACCCCAGCCAACCACGGCCCACAAAACCCGGCCCTAACACCAACCACCCTAAACCCCGACCACCCCAAAACGCCAACCACCCCAGCCAACCTAAAACCCGACCACCCCAGCCACCCACGAAACTCGACCCACAAAACCCTGGCCCTTATACCAACCACCCTAAAACCCCAACCACCGCAGCCAACCTAAAACCCGACCACCCTAAACTCACCCCTTATTTCTTCTTGTTTAAGGGTATGGGTGTCATGGGTGGTCGTGTTTAGGGGTGACGTGGGTGGTCGTGTCTGGGGGTGGTCGTGTTTGGGGGTAGTCCGTGGTCGAGTTTGGGGGTGGTTGTGGTGATCAGTTTCGGGTAAGGGGTGGTAGGATTTAAGGGTATGGGTGGTCAGTTTCGAGTAAAGGGTGGTAGGATTTAAGGGCATGGGTGGCTGCGGTGGTCAGTTTCGGGTAAGGGGGGTTGGTGTGGTGGTTTAAGGTGGTCATGTTTCAAGGTTAGGGGCGGTGGGGATGGGGATGTGGTGGTTAGGTGCGGTGGGGATGGGGTGGTCAGGGAAGGAGGTGGGGATGGGGATTTTGGCTTTTCTGATTTTTTTTTTTTCTTTTAATTTTTTTTTGTTTTTTAATGATTAAAAAAATAATTGACCAATTAATGACTGACGCGTGGCACATAGCTTACAAAAATCGGTCATCAATAGGTAATGGATCTGTGGGAGAAGGTCGTGTATAAAGGTGGATTTTTGTGAGATTAATTAAAGGTCGGATTTTTTTTGTCAAACCGCGCAAAGGTTGGATTTTTAGTTTCCACTTTTCCTATATATATATATATATATATATCCCATATTTGATGGATGTACATGATAATATATCCCATATTCATAAACAAAATCTGAAAAGTTTTTTCAAATATGCAGGCAGAAGTATCTACCTTGCAGTGCTGCTGAAATACAGGAAAAACAGTTTCGTCTTTTACGATAATTTCTGCATGTTTCCTGTTCAGTATAACCCACTATTTCCCACCGCCCAAAAAAATGAATAAATAACACAAAAAAAGTAAAAAAAATGATAAAATAAAAATAAAATAACACAAAAAATAAAAATAAAATAAAATAAACATTACTTTACCGAAGTAAATACTACAAGCATAATCAAACCACTAAGTTCATAAAAATCACACCTGAGAGCCTTTACGCCAATTTGTAACAGGAATAACAGGTTGCATCTTTGGATTGTAACGTCCATCCTTTGTGTCAGCAAAACTATCAATACCATCAAACAAAACAAAATTTAATAGTTTTCTTTTCATAAACCCAATGCAGAAGCATTCAACGATGTACTTGGTCTTTTTCATAAGAATATTGCATTAGTCTTAAAGCTCAACAGAGGCCTTGCATGGCGTTTATGTTGGCTTTAATACAAAGGTTGTGAGTTGTATGAAAGTAACAAATACGTAGTTTGGAAGTAAAGCACGGTAGCTGGCCCAATTAGTTAAGTAATAATCTCGTTTGGACTCTTCATATTTTAGAACTACTATGTTTGGGATTGGTTTACAAGATTATCCATTGTAATAGAATTCATGTCATAAGCAATTAGGAATATTGTTTTTCTGATTTCTTTAGATGGCATGAGACCTGATTAGTCAATCTTAAGCAAGCTAAGTTGATTTCCTTAAGATGTTAAGAGTTAGAGACTTGTCATCTTAGTAGATCTGAGTTTTAGTCCTTGTAAATAGTCATATGGGCTAGACAGATACATTTAGGTGTGAAGTAAATTTAAAAATATATGTCAGTTTGTGCTTCAGAAATTTGTGTGTTCTCGTAATATTTGGTGATTAAATTCTATAAAGTTGTGGCCAATTGAATCAGTTGAACAACTTGAACTCATTGATTCTTTAATTTGGTTTTTGTTGGATGTAATTCCTTTTGAGAATAAATCAAAGTTACTGTTTTCCGCATTTGTATTTTTTTTTTTTTCTAAATCAAATACATCATCTTGGTAATAGTGCTCTTAACCTATTGATACTTTTATTTTATTTTTGTATTGTATTATGCGCTCCTATTTAAAACTCTAAGAACTGTAGCAAGTTTAAGTCTTTTTTCTCAAAATCTTAGGTCGTCAATTTTTCCCGCAGAGATTGGTGAAACCGTTTTTCTAAAATCCTAATTTTGACAAAAGAATCTATCCAAGGCCATATGGTTTCTTCAAGACTGTTAGGATTTCGCAGTGAAGAATTCAAAGGATTGGATTCTTCAATTAGAGGATTTTTTCAATCTTATCTAGTTAAATGTGGAGGAGAGGTTAATGATTGCCATCATCGGACTTAAAAGTGATGCACTGGGATATTTGAAAGGGAGTAACAATAGCTGTTCCATAAGTGGTGACTAAGTGAGGCTGCATTTTAGCTCACCCCCGATGAGTTTCCTTCACTACTCTAAGTTGGGTGACAAGGTGCGGCACCCTAGTACTCTCTATGAGTTCGTTCCAATCTCAGCGAGAATTTCCAGAAATAGAAACAGATTAATAAGATTCACTTCGAGAGACCAGAGCCACCACATGTAGTAGAGGAGCTTGGTGGCAGCTGGGTGGAGATTTCTGGCAAAGAGTTCCAGAAGCAATAGAGTGTGGAAAATAATACGTAGTAGATTAAATCACCTAAGCGTATTGTTAGATTTGGCCTTCAATTGATCCTTTCAAGGCTTGGAAATCTGTGCTTAACGATTTTATAATGTATTTCCTGAGGAACTACTGCCTGAACTACATATGATTCAGACTGAGCATCACAAGGATTACGTTTCAGGATAATCTTTAACTAGTAAGACAGCTTGTGGGTCAAATCCTTGATAAACTGAATAATAGCAATGGAAATTTGAGAAAAGAATGGAAAGGGGTTAAGTGAGGGAAAGCAAAAGTCCATGCGTAGTATCTGCCTTGTTATTACATTTGTTAGATTGGACTATACTAGATGGTGAACAAAGCTCTATAGTGTTTTCGAAAATTCGATCTTATCAAGAATTTTCATAGTTTTAGTCTACTTTGCAACAAAGTTCCATGACGAAAAAGAGAGATTCCACTTATCTAATTTCTAGATGAATAACTTGGTAATATTGACATGAACAATTTTTAAAATGGTAAATTAAACTAATCGCAATTCAAAAGATGAACAAACGAATCTTACCTGTCAACAAAACTGGTAGATGTTGACATGATATAATCATACGTATAACTAAAGTTGTATAGTGGTACACAGCTGAAAAAAAGATCAAATAGCTGAAATATTGTTAGAAAGAAAAGACTAATAATAAAGCACTATGATAAGCACCTATTAAAACAACAATATCCATCAATCGTGGCCTAGTTAACAACTAACGGTTGGTGTGATTAGAATACATACACATACACGTGCAGGATAAAATAAATGAACCTAAAACAGATTAATGCTCACCTATCGGACAGGAAAATAAATCGTTCATTAGCAGGATCAACAAGTGCACTTTTAAGCAAAATTCGCTCTGCCTGAATCATGCTAGCTTCTCCCCAATCTACCTGGAGAAATAAAATTCATAAAAGATTCCAATTGACAAGCTTAACTAACTGGCAATGCAAATTGAATAGAAGAAAAGAGATGGGTAAGAAAAAATGTATGGAAAAGAAAACTCAGAGCTAACAAGACTCATATCTTAGTCTAGTTGCATGCATGCATCTAACTATGTGGTTTATCACTGTGACAAAGGTAAAGTGCACTTTTGTTTTGAACCATTCTTAAGAGACAGGTAAGAAACAAATGGGCTGTGGAGTTAATTATGAGCAGGTGAGGATAGATATCACAGATACCCTTCAGCTAAGTTAAAAAGCCATGGGAAATAGCTTTAACATCTGTGCATATGTGGTTTGTTAAACCAGCACACATCTTACCCTGTACTTAAATGCTGACTCCAAGTCATCAATCAAACAGCAAATACAATCAAACAGAACATTACAAGAAAAGATTCTGAGAGAAAAAGGAAGATGAAAATTGAGAGAAAAATAGAGAGAAAATTAGGAAGAAAAAAGATCACACAGAAGTTGTGATTCATTACAATGAAATAAGCATCTAGGACAACTATATATATTCTGTTGTTACAAGACTTTTTGTAACAAACTTTCTGCCACGTCAGCCCGAGATTTCAAGGAGTTAGTTATAACTAACTTTCTTCCAGAAGCTTCTCATATTCTGCATCAGATTCTTCAAATACTGATTTGATGAAATCAGCTAATGCTGCTGCTGCTGTAAGCTGCTTGCTGTGACTGTCTGAGCTGTAACTTGTACAGCTGGAAGGACTGTCACCAATAGCCTATTTCCAGGCTCCAATCATATAAATTTAAGTATCCTTAATTTCGAAATTAATGTTTCCCACTTCACTCTTATGTGAAATAGAAATTTAAATAACAGACAGGTGTTGTGTGCTACACCATCCGGCCACAGGCTAGCAGCCATCCAAGTTGGACAGTGGCCGAATGCAAGAGGAAGTTCTTAGAGTTGGCCTCTCCTCTCGAAGACATGCTGGAAAGCATATTGTTGGGTCGATGAGGAGAAAATCAAGACAGAGGTTGGATTACTTGATCTGTATACTCTTGAACAAACTATTGAGTTGGTTAAGAAAGGAGACAGGTTGGAGAAGAGGTAGTTGTGGGCCAGGAAAGGTTAGGCCTATCATAGTGCTTGCTAAAGGGACTGCTGGGAGTATGGGCTCATCTGTGGGCAACCTAACACCACCAGTTATAAAAGTAGCATAAGGATTTTCAATGAACCCTGCCAAGGGTCGGTTAACATGGGCCAGCCAGATCATCTAATTCTCCAAGGGTTAGGGCCAAGGGGAGAAAAAAGGCATCCATAAAAAAGAATTGCAGGAAAAGAAGACAAAAGGTTTGTGTTTTAGATGTGATGAACGTTGGAGAACTGGGAATAGGTGCAAGAAGCAGGTGGATCAAAAGGAGGAAGAGCACGCAGATCCGACGAAGGAAGAGCTCTACTCTGCCACCCGCGTGGAGACTTTAATCCCCATAACCAGAAATAGCGGTACCATTAATTTGGTCGGGGTGGTTGTTATGGTGGATTCGGAGACAAAGCATAACTTCATTTCCGTCGGAAGGGTGGAGGAATTAAAACTCGCCATCAGAAATTCATTAGGCAACGAGGAGATGGCAAAAGGAAGAGGAGTGTGCGGATTGGAGATTAAAAAAGACTAGGGTCCAATGGCTCAAGAAGTTAGGTGAGTCACTATAAATTTCAGGTCGCCGGAATTCCCAGTATAGCTGGAAGTCCCTCAAAGTTATGATATGGTCTCTGAACAAAAAAATGGGGGTGTACTAGTGGAGCTTTGTAGAATGGACTAATGGAGGAAGGCGAGTTTTTTAAGAGAACGCTGCCCGATTCCAGCACCCCATCTGGGTTGCAGCCCATATGAGGCACGAGCATGCTATAACACTCAAGAATGGAAACTCGATTCCCGCAAATCCAACAGGACACAATTGAAAAGCTTATTGAGATATGCTAGACACCAGAATCATCAAACCATTTACAAGTCCGCTCTTACTAGAGAAGAAGGATGAGTCATGGCGATTATGTGTGGACTATCAAACCCTTGACAAGAGAACTTTCCCCGATAAGTACTCGTCATTGATGAGCTGCTAGATGAGTTATTCGGAGTTGCTATTTTTTCGTAAAGATTTGAAAGCCGAAGATCACCAAATTTTGGTGAAACTAAGGATACCCATAAGATGGCATTTAGAACCCGTGAAAGGCCACTATAAATTTTTAGTCAAACCCTTCAGGTTGCTCCCGCCACATTCCAATTTGTGATGAACAATGTGTTTTGACCATTTTTCAGAAAATCCATATTGGTCTTTTTCAATGATATTTTGGTGTATAGAGAAGATGAAGAAGCCCATAAGGAATACATGAAATTAGTGCTCGAAAAATTGGAGGAACATAAGCTCTTTGCTAATTGAAAGAAATGTGAGCTTGGCAAAAGGAAAGTGGCTTATTTGAGCCACGTAATTTCTTCAGAAGACGTGGCAATGGACTTAGAAAAAATTAGAGTCATGATTAATTGGCCCATTCCAAAGAATTAAAGGGAGCTGCGTAGTTTCCTTAGGTTGACTGTCACTTCAATCAAGTTTAGCCGCGACATTTTATTATTGTCGATAATCACTAATTAATAAAAGAAGAAAGCAACAATAAACATTAAAGCTGTAAAATTGATTACCTACCCTCCTAAATTTCTCAGTATTCTCACTCATTCAAATAACATGTTTTTTTCACAGGTTTGCAACATATCAGCTCAAGATTCACAAAGATATAAGGTACCTGTATACTATCATTAACTTGACGGTTTAGAAAATACAGGGACTTTGTTGTTGCCTTATTGAACAGGAACCCGGGTCTTGAATGAACAAAGACTGAAAAGCTTTTATCCTTGTCACCCTGCAAACAGGTAACCACAAAATTACATTCCCAAATTTTTATTTTTATTTTTTATTTTTTCCTTTCCACAAGCGAGGGCAGGTAATGATAATTGATAAAATTGATCCCAGAATTCCCTGAAACGGGAGGGAAACACTAACTGAGAATCAATCACGGAATCCCCTGAAACCGGAGGGAAGCACTAACTACCTGAGCTATCCTCGCTTTCAAAGTAATACCTTGTGTTCAAAACTAATTAACAATGCTTTCAGCGAAATAAGAAACTTACCCGAAAAAAGGAATCCCAGACGAAATCAAGAGGAAGGCGATTGCGAGCAATAAACAGGAAAACAATCTTAGGCTTTTGGGCAAAGAAATTCGGAAAGGGCATGAGCAAATTGATGGTGGATCGATAAATTTCAAGCAAAACAAAGCTCCCAATGCAAAGACACAGCAGAATCGCAAAGAACAACCTCCTCTTCCATTTATGGTGATGAGAAGATCTAATATGGAAACTTGTTGTTCTTCGCTTCATCATCTAATTTGTAGCAAGTTTCCAGATCTATAATCTCACACAAATTCAATTCAAAAGACCAAAATTTTCTTAGTAAGTGGGAGAGACTGAGAGTTTGATTTCTTACCAAAAAAAAAATATATTTTTAATAAGTAGTTAATTCATTTATAACGCCAACAAGAGTAATAATGATTGCTAAAAAGTTTTGTGCCAGATGGCTTTGATAAAGTACTTTTTTTTTCTTTTTGAAAAAGCTTAGATAAAGTACTTAAATGGCGTGAATTGGAATCAAGGAACCAAAACACAAAAAAACAAAAAGCGTTTGTTTAAAGGAAAATCAGTCAATTGTTTGATTAGTCTACTAACTATTACCAATGAGTCTGGGCGCATAGAGCATATCGGCGAGTTATGTAAATAGGAGGATAAGAAAGTAATTTTCGCTTATTCAATTTTTGCTTCTAAAAAAAGTTAATTCTCTATTAGTACATTATAATGTATCATTATATACCATTATGCATATATAATGTTCTACTAAATTATAAGTTGTCTGAATAGTACTTTTTGAGAACTATTACGAGTGTAGTGGTAATTTTTACCATCCTATAAGTTTCAACTTCTAGAAAAAGCGAACCTCTCTAGTGGTATATTATAATGTATCATTATGTACCATTATGCATGTATAATGTACCCTAAAGTATAAGTTATCAGAATCAAAGCGTTTTGTGTGAGACTGGACTCGCGTGAGACCGGGCTCTAAATCAAAAAGGCGCGGGCCTGATAAACCCGACCAAAGCCCGCGCGCCATTTTATAAAATGTCTGAATTTTTTCGTTTTCATCATTTTCCTAAAATTTCGAGCGCCGTCATTTACTCAAAATTTCGATCACCTTCATTTCGTCGAATTTCAACGACTTCATTTCCTCAAATTTCAGAGCATTCAAATCTTCAAATTTCAAACAATTCAAATCAAAAAAAAGGAGAAATCAAACAACACAATGATGACTGAAGGAGAATCTGATTCACCTATAGAATCAATTTCTAGCACAATTACTGCTGAAAAAGGTACAGTACAATTCATAATTTCATATTGTATTTAATTTCAAATCATATTTGATTAAATGTAATAGTGAATTTGTAATATGAATTTCGATTTATAATTTACATGCAAGGCAAATTGAACTTCAGATCGTATTAAATTTCGATTTAATATCATATCGTATTTAAATTCGAGTTAATTTAGACCTATAATTTGCAATCAATGCTTATTAAATTTCATATCGTTGTTAATTTTGAATGAAGCATAATTTAATTTCAAATCGTAGTTAATTTCGACTTATAATTTAAAATCAATGTTAATTATATTCCGATCGCATTTAAGTTCGACTAATAACTTGAAATCAAGGCTAATTTATTTTTTGATCGTATTTAATTTATACTTGTAATTTGCATGCAAAGCTATTTTAGTTTGAATTGTCTATATAAGATGTCGTAGAAAATTAATTTAAATTTGAATCTATTTTTTTGATAATTTTAGAGTAAAATTCAAATATACTAATACTAATGATGTATGTAGTAGATAATGTAATTATAGAAGACAACATCATGAAGAAAGAGATGAAGATGCTTCTATCATAGGTATACTGATAATTAAATGCTCTGTAATTTAATGATGTAAATGCAGATAATTAATTTAATATAGTCTAATTTCTGACAGAAACAATATAATTTCTGACTAATAGAACCTATTTCCTGACTAATATGGTAATTTGTGAAAATAATCTGATTCCTGACAATTTCAATGTATTTATGACTGGATTAAAAAATCTAATTCATGTATGCTATAATCTAACTGACTATTATTATATTAAACCTGATTATAGTTATCTATTTCCTGACTAATATTATCTAATTCCTGACAATTTCAATGTATTTATGACTAAATTAAAAAATCTAATTCCTATATGTTATAATCTAACTGACTATTATTATATTAAACCTGGACAATTATTATCTATTTCCTGACTAATATTATCTATATCGTTTCATTTCCTATATAATTCCTAACTATTATTAGTTTTTTCCCGACTAATATTATCCTAAACTTAACTGAGATAATTTATTTCCTGATTAATATACTGCAATTCCTGATCCGAATAATCTAATTCCTGACTAAAAAATGCTAATTCCACTAGGTGAAAAAACAAAATGGGCATCGATTCAAAACCCCTAAATGCCACCGATTTTGAACCAGTGTCAATAATGCATGAAAACGGCACCGGTTTGAACCGGTGGCAAAAAGGATTTTTGGCACCGGTTCTAGTTCAAAATCGATGGCAAAAAAGAGTTTTTGGCACCGGTTCTAGTCCAAAACCAGTGCCTTTTATGGCCCAAAAAAATATTTTTTTATTTTTTTTGCTTTTTTCACTTGAATTTATCACCAAACTGTTATTTATATACATAATATACTTAAAACTCATAATTTTCATTAATAATCAGTAATTTTACACTTGCAAATAAAATGCAAAAAAATATACAACTTTTTTTTTTTAGGAAAGCACAACGTAAATTAATTAATCATAATAGCAGTCACTTGATACAAAAATGAGGGCTTCAGGTGGCACCTCCTCAATCCACACCCTAAGGCAATAAATTTTTTTACTAATCTGTGCTAGTTTATGAGCAGTCTGGTTACCCTTTCTACCGATGTGGGAAAACTTGATGTTGAGACAAGAGCTGGCAATTTCCAGAATAACAAGAGCACAGTAGCAGAGCAACATGAGCATAATAGCAGAATAGCAGAAGCAGCAGCAGGCATCAAAGAAAATTCTACTTCAGAAATTCACCAAAATGATCATCACTATATATGAGTCTTCACCAATTATTCTCCCTGTTCAATATAATAAATAAGCAATCATCATTAAATTTTGGATCTCTATCAATAAAAAAAATGACTAAAATTACTAATCCCCTAAAACAGAGGATTAATCACTTCATATCTTCGTTTAAATCAAATAATCTTTTATTTTCCTGCTAACAAATCAATAACTTTCATGAAAGTATGCATATTAACTTTGATAGAGTTAGAGCATAAGATTCAGTAGTAATAGAAATATTTTACTAATGTCAGGCTATTCATATTACTAGCTAAAAAGTTTATATCAATTAAAAGAAAATAACAATAAGAGTACTAATGCAACTTTTACTACACTATTATTAATATTAAAAACCTGAACAAACATCATATACACTAAAAGAGCAATTAAATATAGCATAAAAGAATCACAAGCAAACTCTTTAATGAAAATTCAGATGGATGATTGTGATCTCCCATATATACCACAAATAAGAAAAGGCATCTTAGTTTATAGTCAAAGTACCAATGAAAAACATGGATCATTTATACTGTCCAGCAAGAATTTCACCAATCCAGCCAATCCACACACACAAAAAGAGAGTAAAATCTCCATCCCATTCTCTTACATATAACTAAAGACATGTTCATATATGCATGAGTCTAGGGTAATCGAAAAATAGAGTAAGGAACCCCATATAATTCATGCGCAGAATTTGAAAATGAAAAAGAATGATACAAAGTCATATAGTAAAAAAAATTTCCCCTTCTTGGATCAGCAAGTCCCATTCTTTAGTGTGCTCGTCGCCTAAAATAATTTCTTTTCATTACTTTTGTATGACAAACAAACATGGAGCAACATACAAAAAGGATGGAAATTTTTAATTTTGAGCTAAAACTTCTAGTGCCAAATTGAAAACAACTTACACAAGGCCAAGACTACAGCAACATTTATATAACAATATGAGTCCTAATAACAACAACTTTTTAAGAACGAATACCTTTATGGAGACGTAGTTCTCCAACTGACTGTTTTTTGACATGGGTCTTTCCATTAAGATTTTCAGCATTTTCCTTTTGTTTTGCTTTCACTCTGAATAATTTAATTATCTTCTCTGAACAACAAAAGGAAAAGGGTGAATAACAACCTCAATTGACCAGATACCAGAATTCATTATACAAGTACAATTTTGAAGTCTCATTGACATAGTTATAACAAATGAAAAGAGGAACAACAAATTCAGAAACCAAACATAGTATTAAGCACATACATTAAGAAACCAAACATAGCATTAAGCACATACATTAAGAAACCAAACATAGCAATATCAACTAATCAAAGGTTAACCGGTGCCCTATTAAGCCGGTTATATTTTTGTGGTCTAAGCTTGCGTTTTTCCCACCGGTTTTTAAAAACCGGTGGGCATTACTCGGTTCCTAATTGTTATTTTCTACTAGTGAAAATAAATTTGGGGGTGGCATCAAATGATTATGTTTAGAAGTTGACAAGTTTGCCTGACAGAGACAAAAGAAACAAAATGAAGAATAAAAGAAATGCAAATAACCAAATAAAGATAAGTCCAAGGTCACTGACTTAAAGTTACCACAGTCTTTCCCTAGTTCATTTCTCAGTAGACATTGATCTCAATTGAAATTATGCAAACTACAAGAGTAAAGTTTTGCCTTTTCTGCATCATATTCTAATTTACACTTTCATTTTAGACAAACTTATATATATAGTTGTAAGATTTAAACACAAGTTGTCCAGCCATATAATTGAAGTTTTCCACTCCACCAGAGCACGAACTACATGGTGACCCCCACTAGAGGCAAACATTGCCTCGGAGTCTCGAACAGCGCAGTAAGACCGCAAGACTCCCATAGAAGTCTTGTCTGATCATCTCTGGCGATTTACATCTTGTACAGATCGCCCAAGCCGTCACAACCGGAACCATGACAGCGCGTCCTCCCAATAGTGATGCCCCGTCTCACCCTCTCAGAAATGTGATGGACGGGGGAAAAGTACAAGGTCCGCTCATCCCACTCAGGGAGCCGACCAAGCAAAGTGGACGGCTTGACATCGTCCTCTACGGGCTCATGCTCCCGTCGAACGTCTCGGGACCGTGAACCGGAACATCGCTGTCTAGCCATGCTACATTGTGCAGAATTCTCATAAATTAGGGTTCTATAGTATCTAAGGTTCGCCTAGCCGCATGATACTATGTTCGCAAAAAAACAGAGTACGTAGTACTAAAACAGAGCACAAATTCAAGTTGAGCATAACGGTATTTTTCAAGCAATCAAACAATTTCTTGCAATACTATAGTAATTATTGTGACAAATTGGGAAAGAATTGCTAGCAAAAACATTAAGAATAAGCCACATTGTATTCCCGACCTTAAGA